GCCATTTTCCGCCTAATAGGAACTGAATCATACTGTACATGGAGACAGCCTAAAGTAGGACATACCTTTATCCCGGACAGAATTTCATTTGTCATGCGAATGCGTTCATCCTTCAGCCGCATCTGTTGCACCATCCACTTCTTGGCGAACAAGGAAATGCAGATGTTGAAAGGTATCAGTGAGATCGAAAATGACCGCTTTGAACATACGATGTGTATCAAGAAAATAAAATAATGGGATTTACCATAATTACAAAGCCCGCAATCACTGCATAACCTACTGTTTGCCATAGAAGCACCATGCAGATGATAACCTATGGAAAGCGAATGGACGAAGAAGGTATTGAGTGTAGTGATCTTGCCATCAAAGTTTTACCTGTAAAGGACTGCTCCAATACTGCTGCAGTTGTGGAGTTATCATACGAAAGCGATCTACGTCGATAGCCATAAGATTTACAATCTCTCCATGAGTCTTCTCTCTTCTTGAAGCGTTCGAAAGCTTCATAGTCTAGAAGGACCTTTTCTCATACAAGGCAAGTTGTGTGGGTAGAAGTAGACGACTGCTCACCTTGTTGTAGACGGCTGTTGTCAGTGAGGTCTGAATCTTTGTTCCTATGCGATACATGACTGTGAAGTAGTTATTCATGAGTAAAGTTCGCAGTATTCCCGAGAAGAAAAGCCCGGCTACGTAAAAGAGTCCTTCGTATAGGGGAGCATTTGGCTTCTCTGTGAATGTGATGAGCAAGCTGAAAGAATTTCATAAATAAATTGGGGTTTGTATTGGCGACTAGCTCACTTTAAAAAGGCAGGATTAGCAAACTGGATGAGATCAGAAAAGAGTTTGATAATGCTGCCACCGATCAGTTCCCACTTGAATAATCTCCACAGGACGCCGATAATGGAGGGAAGAGGAATGGGCTCTAAAAAACAACTTTATCTACGTTTCCATCCACAAGGATCAAATGCATATCCCGGCAGAATTTCGATTTCCAGTTTTTCACCCTTTCAGAGCCTTCTCGCTATGAGGAGCCCATATCTGGGCTTTGCAGAGCATGAAAGGCAAAAATGAGCGTTTTCAAAGCTTTCCAGGTCCGCATTCAGTGATAATGCGCCAAATTTCCGCGCCCCGTCTCACTTTCGGACTCCGCTCACGCACACGTATTTCCACTGAATGCGGAGATAGGCGCCAAACTTATTCGGTTCAGCCGGTTCATAAACCGCATGTGGAGGTTCACCCTTCGGTATTGGTCACTTCCATGATTTGACCAATAGAGAATGAGTGAAGAAAGCCCAGATATAGGCTCCTCATGGCGAGAAGACCCCGAGAAGGTGAAAACTGGGAAACGAAATTCTGCCTGGACACTGCCTTTAAGATCAATAAGAGATTCTGAAATATAATAGTAATTGACTAACCATGTACAGGGCTTTCCAGCTTCATGACATCGTCGGTACCATAACCTTTCCCATTTCCATTGATGAGAGGGGTTTTCTCATCGGTACTAGAGAAATCGAGATTTGAAGTATGGACTTGCTTCCGTTTCTCATAGTCTAAAGATAATCGTCGCTGCGCTACTTCTTTCCTCTTATGTAAAAGTCAACCTTTGAGAGATTTATTCCATTCGTTCTCCCATTCTGCGTTGAGGTTCTCAGCTTGCAAGCCCTCATCTAGCTCATATAAGCTTCCAATCTATAACCATAAAAAGGACGGCTTTGAGAAATACTGGAAATAGTTCCACGCTTACCTCCAAGGAGTTTTTGGATGCTTTTGATATAATTGGGCCAAACCACCAAAGAATTTGACGATTCGGAAATGATGCAGAAGTTTCCGGATGAGTTTTAGTATATTCGAAATGCTGAATAGGGATTGAAGTGGTTAAACCAT